CGAGAATGCCTGTTTACCAGTTTTGATGAGCGAGAGAGTGACAGAGGGGGGAGTGTGTGTGTGTGTGTGTGTGTGTGTGTGTGTGTGTGTGTGTGAGAGAGAGAGAGAGAGAGAGAGAGGGGGGGATGAAGTAGGAAAAGAAAGAAAAGGACAAACAAATAACCCTGTTTGTACCAGACGTACATAATAAGCAGGCCTAAGTGAAAGTCAACACGTATTTTATTGTCCCCGTGAGCATTGTCATGAGTGCAGAAAAGGCCTTTCGGTTGTATTTTATCCAAGGCTAATTTTTTTTAAAAAATTACGTTTTTCTTACTTTTGTAGTGTCAACTTACATCGTTAACCAGGTTGAAGGCTTTACCAGAGATCTGTTTAGGCAGGCAAATGGTCGTTACATCGACAGCATCGCTCATTACAAGAGGAGCGAAAACACAGAGCAGAATAAGGGACCTCATGATGCCTTTGGATACAAAAACAAAAAAGATACCATAAGTGTTATATTTCAACTTTTAAATTATAGATACTAACTATCATGCAATGTAAGGTATTCATGAAATGTAAAAGCTAAAAGGATATACTTGTAAAAAATAGTACAGTGATTCTAAGCAAGGAGCAGGAAAGGACAAAGTCCAAACTTAAAATGCACTTTAGCAGTAATGGTTCAATTTCTTTATGTACACAGATTAAGTTGCAGATATTATATTGTAGAATGTTTCAGAACAAGGGACGTAAGTTCCCACTCTCTGTAGCGCCTGGATGGCATCTTTTAATACAATTCTTTTCATTTCTAGTCCGTTTTGACTTTCAATCCGATAGTCTGGTCGATGGCATCGACATTCCACAGAAACCAAATGGTAATGTATGTATGGCAATAAGTGTTGGTGCACTCGCAAAAACAAATGAACACCCCCGGAGAGGGGCTACTGACTGACGCGTCTTTTGGCCATTCCCAAAGGGAGGACATTAAACACGTTCTTATGCTCAGTAGAATTGTAAATGGGCTCATTCATCTATGTTTTGCTCATAACTGTGCCTGAACTGCATACGGGGAACTGCTGCTTTACCCTTCCTAATCCTTACTATCGTCATTTTTCCAATACTTCTTTTGTTTGTTTGTCACTTTCTTGTGACCCGCTATTTCCGGGATGCCTTGATAGTCGAAGCAGACTTTGTGCTGTTGAAGCTAGAGAGGTGAGCAGAGTAAGCCTGATTCCCTGTATAGATTTCTCTGTTGACATCCATCCCTTGGCGCTCAAATGACCTTATGCAGTTGCGAACGCTGTAAAAACTGTACTAAAACTAACTTAAACAAATTAACGAGTAAACAAAAAACATTTAAGTTCGTAATACACCTTAAAATAAGTTCTGAACTGAGGGTATTCTTGTCGCCATAATATTAGCAATGATGACAACCCGATTGTACTAGCTTGGCTGAGAAGGGTCGGGAGTATACAGGTTGGGCTAATGGACTCGTAATCGTGAAGTTGTGCGTCCGGGGGTTCGCGTCTCAGGCCAGAAGTTTTCCTCGGGAAGGGCTCTGTTCCCGAATGTTTCTCAGTTCACCCAGGTGACAAAGGGTACACGTCCATAAACAGTAAAAGATCTTGTTTGTATGTTAGCGTTTTAGCGATTATTAAAGGAAGTTGAGATATTTTCAGAATGTAGATTGTAAAATGTACAAAGTATGCTGTTGAGCGGGATTATCATTAGTATTATTGTTATTGTTGTTCTTCTACTTCTTCTTCTTCTTCTTCTTCTTCTTTTTCTTCTTCTTTTTTTCTTCTTCTACTTCTTCTTCTTCTTCTTCTT